TAAATCCCGCAATGATAAATGTATACAGTGTATACATTTACACATTATCATTAACCATTATCATTATCCAGTAATCCAGTAATGATAAATTTATACACATTGGTCCATCAGTCATTATGTACATTTTTTAAACTTCAAATACATGTGTGGACCACTCCTTAAATCTCACAATGGTAAATGTGTGCACATTATCTGTTGGCTTTTTCATATTGTCTTATATACCGTCTTTTCTTACTATTCGCTGCCCAGTTTCTATGCATTTCCTCTTGAGTCAAAATAGATTGTTAACTCATGCTCATATTTTCATTTATTTCAGCTATACTTCAAGTCACATTTCATTCAGTGCATCACAAAATTTGTAGTTATGCCTCCCAAATGACAAGCGCTTGGACTATCTACACCTAAAACACGCAAGAGAAGGGCATTAATTGCTTCAGAAACAGACGAGCAACGTAAGGTAAGACTGAAAACCATTCGAGTGCGCACTGCTGAAGCCCGTTCATCTCAATCAGACCAGCAACGGAAAACAAGACTAGACAACGTTCGAGTGCGCACTGCTGAAGCCAGATCGTCTCAGTCAGACGAGCAACGAGAAGCAAGATTGGAAACCAATAGAGTACGCACTGCTCAAGTCCGTTTATCAGAAACAGTCGAGCAACGGAAAGCAAGACTGGAAACCGTTCGGTTGCGCACTACTTTATCCAGGCGAACACTGCATGTTGATTTGATTCTTGGTGCATTCCATTACAACAGCAATTATGATTACAGTCTTCATCCGCAGGTGCTTATTGGCAAAATGGATAACGTGTGCGTACATTATAGTGCCTTCAAATTTAAGAATGAAATGCCGGGTATGTGCTGCGCTGGTGGCAAAGTTAAATTGCCAGTATTACATTCACCACCCAAACCATTATCATCATTGGTAGCAGGTGACACAAGCCAGTCGAAACATTTCTTGGCCAACATTCGCAAATACAATTCGTGTTTCCAGATAACATCATTCGGTGCAACGAATATTGTGCGCAAGAATTACATGCCGACATTTAAAGTGCAAGGCCAGATTTATCATCGTGCTGGCTCCTTACTACCACTGCCCGACGCAGATTACAAATTTCCTCAGATTTATTTCATGGGGAACATTGTATAACAAATTAATCAACGTTGTCGATTCAATAAGGGGACACAACGAGACATAGTTGCTGCTTTACAAAATTTATTTGATCAACACAACAAATTAATTAGATTGTTCAGAACTGCTCTTCAACAAATGCCAGCTGATGACTACAGAGTTTTACTCAGAGCTGACAAAACACCAGTTGGCCAACATGAAAGACAGTATAATGCACCAACAATTGATGAAGTGGCAATTGTTATGGTTGGCGAAGAATTCAACTCGCTTGACATAATTCTTCATCGCAGAAATAGTGATCTTCAGCGAGTCTCAGAAACTCATCGCTCATATGACGGATTGCAATATCCAGTTTTATTTTGGCAAGGAGAAGATGGATATCATTTCAACATCAAATTGAGAAATCCACAAACACATGAGGAGATGATTAAGAAAGTCAGTGCCATGAATTATTATTCATATCGATTGATGGTTCGTGAATACGCTAACAATCATATCTTGACATGTCGACAATTGTTCCATCAATACATTGTCGATATGTATGCAAAAACTGACACTGAGCGACTTCTCTATATTCGATTAAATCAAACCAAGTTGCGTACAGAGGTGTACATTCAGTTATGTGATGCATTTGTTAATGATGGCAATGTTAATCCCAATGAGTTGGGGAAAATGGTCATGTTACCAGCCACATTTACAGGGAGTCCACGACACATGCATGAGTATGCACAAGATGCAATGAAATATGTTCGCGTACATGGTCGTCCAGATTTATTTATCACGTTTACATGCAATCCTACATGGGATGAAATAAAAGAACTTTTATTACCTGGACAATTATCATCGGATCGTCATGATATTACAGCACGTGTGTTTAAACAATAATTGAAATCTTTAATGGATTTCATTGTCAAGTATCGTGTTTTTGGAGAGACCCGCTGTTGGATGTATTCCTTCGAATGGCAAAAAAGGGGATTGCCACACGCACACATTTTGATTTGGATCATCAACAAAATCACACCAGATCAGATTGATCAGGTTATCTCAGCAGAAATACCAGATGTCAACATTGATCCAGACTTATTTGCAGTCGTCAGAAACATCAATCCGCCACGTCTTTGCAATGGTACCAGGCTTTCAGTGAAAAGGCTGATGCTCAATATCATCGAAGGTACATGGGAAAATGGGAAATTTAAGGGCGAGAATATACTTTTGCCACGCATCCCAATGATTCCAACAGACATGCAGTTTCCAGTGCGACTCGCCTTTGCAATGACCATAAACAAATCACAGGGACAATCCCTACAAGTGTGTGGACTACGTTTGGAACATCCATGCTTTTTACATGGGCAGCTATATGTGGCCTGTTCACGCGTCAGAAAACCTTCTAATTTATTTGTGTACGCACCAGACGGAAGAACAAAGAACATTGTTTACCCAAAAGCACTTCAGTAAACACATTTTTAATGTTAAATTACCGGCACAATGATCCAATATCATTACATTTTGTTAAAGCGATTTTCCTTTCAATTCACTTTCTATTGTAGCAACGCGTGCAGGGTTGTTTACAGCAATTAGCAAATGTGCTCATTTCGTAATTATGGTGTATTTTTCCTCTTTTCATTGCTTTTCACTAGGGTAATTTGTCCAACTGCTTCGATGAAGGAGAAAGTAGTATGTGAACTGGGGGATGGGTGGTTACAATAAACTGTTTACTGAGATAGATTTGAGTTACAGTAACTGCCTTACCCACTCAAAGTTTTATTAGCTGTGGTTTAGCTGTTGCACTGTACATCTCTAGCGTGAAGCGAAGACACATTTCTATGTTCTCTATTTTCCATGTAGCCAAATTACGCCACAGCAAGGCGTGGCCGGGTACAGCTAGGAAAAAGCGTTTATGTTGGTAGCAGAAGTTGGTAGCTACGAGGTTGTCAATTATCCAACTGAGTTCTTTAATTCACTTTATTTGCCAGGCATGCCACCCCATGTTTTAACCTTGAAAGTCTCTATTTTCCATGTTGCCAAATTACGCCACAGCAACGTGTGGCCGGGTACAGCTAGGAAAAAGTGTTAATGTTGGTAGCAGAAGTTGGTAGCTACGAGGTTGTCAATTATCCAACTGAGTTCTTTAATTCGCTTTATTTGCCAGGCATGCCACCCCATGTTTTAACCTTGAAAGTTGGCGTGCCTGTTATTCTTCTCAGAAACATCAATCCGCCACATCTTTGCAGTGGTACCAGGCTTTCAGTGAAAAAGATGGTGCCCAATACCATCGTAAGTACAATTTTACATGAACATTTAAGGACCAGGATATACTATTGCAACGCAATTCCAACAGACATGCCATTCAACTTCAGATGCTTGCAGTTTCTGGTGCGACTCACCTTAGCAATGACCATCAACAAATCACAGGGACAGTCAGAACAATTGTGTGGACTACATTTGGAACATCCATGCTTTTCACATGGACTGCCATATGTGGCCTGTTCAAGCGTAGGAAAACCTACTGATTTATTCATGTACGCACCAGGCGGAAAAACTAAGAACAATTACATTTTAAATTGCCTGTTTTTTCCTAAGAATTTGTAAACAGCACAATGATCCAAAATAAATACTACATATTGTTATATCGACTTTCCTTTCAATTGAATTTCTATTAGAGGCGTAGCAACGCGCGCTTGGTACAGTTTACCATAGCAATCATTTCGTAATTATTGTGTATTTTTCCTGTTTTCATAGCTTTTCACTTGGGTAATTTTTCCGACTACTTCGATGTACGAAGAAAGATTTCTATTTTCTTTCTTTTCAATTCAGCTAAACTATGCCACAGCAACGCGTGGCCGGGTACAGCTAGTCATCAATAAAAAGCATCCATTTATGTCAAAAAAACATGTTGAGAAGTGTTAAAAATATAATGGTTATTATTGTAATTACAAGAACATTTTTATAAGGTAAGATAATTTATAAGAGAGATTATATACAGGCATATCTATGCATAATACACTTGGACAAAGGCCAATCACAGAGACGAATGGAGGTCGGTGCTATATGCAGCAATGATCACAAGGGCTCTGAATTGCTCAGGAGGAAAAAGAAGAAGAAAAGAATAAAGATAATATTGTAAAATTTAACAGACCAGTGTCTTGCCAGCTGGTGTGGGTGATCATGCTTCTCCACATCTTGAGAAAAAATTGTAGTTGATTCTTTCTGATGCTTGCGAGATTTATTTTATGCCTTAGTCTCTTTGAAGTATTTAAATTTCTAATTTCCACTCTCCAAAAATGTTTAGCATTTTTCTGTAAAACCACATCCCTGGAGCCTCACAGGATTTGCTTCCCTGTCGGCTCAAAGGGCTTGGGTACGAATCCCCATCGAGCCGGTTTTAATAAAAATTGACCTTGGCTCTAAGGTCATCCCAGCATTGAATTGGTACAAAGTAGTGTCCTGGGAAATAAAGGTGGCTGGTTTGACTTAACCCCATTACCACCCACTGAGTGCAGACCAGTCTAACAAATATATCTAGAACTGGCATAAAAAAGCACTTTCACATTTTACTTTATGCAGTTAACTGTCGGATTCATAGACAAATGATAAAACTGGTCCTATGTAACCAGGGCCTTTTTCTAGAAATAAAAAGGTGCCTACCACAAAGTATACAAAAGGGTGCTGGTACTGCCAGCAAAGTGTCTATTACAGTAGTGCTGCAAAAAAAATAATGCCTAAAAAAAGTGCTGGTACCATTCTGTTCTTTATCTCTATGTACACCTTGCATCTGATGATATCCTTCTTCCTAAATATGTGAATTTCTGAACTTGTTGCAAATTAATAAAATTGACTTTCACTGTAAATTAATTAATTGGTCATAACTTACTTTCCATTTTAACTGACCACGTTAAATGAAATCCATTGGTGGCAAGAAAAAAATTCTTTAAATCCACAGGAAGTAATAAGGAATGTTTCTGTAAATATAAAATTAATATCACAAGTGCAAGAACAATCAGTGGCATTGTTTGAAAAGTGAAATCTCATGCAAATTTTCATTCTTCTAAGTATGTTTCTTTAGTGCCTTTACAGCTTGTATTTACCAATTTGGGGAAGGGGGGGGGAGGGGTGGATGGGTGGGTGAGTGTTTATGTATTATATATAACTGTTTCTGCATGCGTACTGTAACTATGAGTGAATGTCTGCACGTAAGTATGAGTATATGCATTCATGAGTGAGTGTATGCAGGTGCGTATGCGTGTGTGTGTATAACACCCATGATTTTGTGTATACTACCTGATAGCCATATTTTGTATACTGTTATATGAACATAATGTGCTTTACAGATAAAATATATTTTCTGTGTGAAAGATAAGTGTTTGGAAGGGCTTATGTAAGACAGGCTTGCTTGCCTAATTTGTGACCCTCTGAAAGTAAAGTTTGTTCATTCATTCTAATACTTAAACAAACAATTTTAAGAAGTACTAGATAACACAATGCTGGGAGTTAAAAGGAAAGGGTAGACCATGAACACAGAAAATAAGCATTCACAATCTATCAAAGCAGACATCATCATCCTGTTGTGCCATGAATGCTCACATTCTAGTCCTTCATTCTGTTCTATCTTGCACAAATCCTTTTCATATCATGGATGCAAACCATCATCTTAGGCCTCCTTCATTGTTAGTCTTAGTGTTTCTTTTAGATGTCCTTACTTCCTTGAACCATTTGTTTCGATTTTCAGTACTTGTTTTGTAATTCTCTGCTTTCTTTTTATCAGGATGTGCCTAAAATATCACTGTTTGATTTGTCTTATAATTATTACTGATTAGCACAGCAGTGGTTGTCCAATACTGACATCCTAACAGACCTGAACATTAAGGAAGACTGGCTAACAAACAGCAGAAGGGATTATGCCAGGAAGGAGATGCAAGGGCCAACCTGCATAAAGATAGATACAGGATATAATAGACTGCTTGGGTATGAGAGTGCATGAGGTGGGAGAGCTGGCAAGTTTCTTTCAGGCAGACCACGATGAGAGTGATGTTCTGCCAAGGACCTGCTACATTATGATGATGATGGTGAGTGGCTAACCAGATATTTCTTTGCTTTTCTTGAATTGAACCAATTTGGTGTTCATAATTTTCCTAATGCAATTGTTTTCAAATGCATTTGACTTTTAATGCAGCCATGATCAATTCAAGATATAAACTACTGGATGATAATGAGTGATTGCTTACTTGCTCCCACATTAGGACTGTTGGTTTTTCTGCTGCTGGCTTTATATCATGCTTTACATGACAGATGCCTGGCTTTTGCTCTGAAGATTATATTGAAATAAGTAAAATTAAAAGACCCATGTATACAGGCGTATGGGGCATACAGTGCTAGACCTATATTTAATAAACCAACTGGCACCTGAGGGTGATGTGATCAACATCATGGTGACCGTCTTTACACAGTCTTTAAGATATATTTACATCTCATATGCTAACTTCTGTTCTTGTGATGTCCTGTTTAATCCTTCCCTGTAGCTCTCTAGAGCTAACTAGTTCCATCATGTTTTCAAAATGACTGATTGATTTGACCTGGTGAAAAAATCCAGACAATATTCCTCACTCGTGTCCTCCTCAGCGAAGCATGCCACTCTGCACGAAGCATACCTGTTCTGATCTTCTTCAGCATGCTTTCTGAATCAGTTACATTTACAATGTGTGTGTGTGTGTCGTGTTCTCTAGCCAGCGGAAAGCTGCAGTGACCGCCCCCACCTCCATTCTTGAGCTGGATGTTGTGGTATCATATGCTAGGCTCTCCTGCACCAAACGTCGACCATTAACTTTTGCTAAGAAGCCCCAAGCACTTCTTTTGCCTCATTCTGCTGGAATGAAATAAGCTACTCCAAGTTGCAGTCTTGGTATTTTATTATTGCAAGGGAATTTTAGTTCATTTGTAATTTTTATTTAATTTTTTTAATGACTGTGACTTGTTTTGTGTTGAAGGCATTTAGGCATTATTATCTTATATTGCTGGATGTGTCTATAACAGAAAATTTAAATGAATTTCATGTAAGACTTTGCTGCAAATGGACAAAACAACAATACATAATGTTGATGTGGAAGAAGCATTCTTACATGCAGTATTTAGGCATTTGTGTAATGTATTTTTAAACCATTACTAAATAATTCATAGTGATAATGAACTGATTTCATCCAACAAGATGAAATTGGACAAATTTGCTATTTGTGCCATGAGGATAAATATTTAGTACTGCTATACTATTGTTATGAAAAACTGGTCTGGAGGAAATAATTATTGCACATATCACTTTCATATTGACTGTGTATAGGCCTATTGCTTTTTTTGGCTAATTATTAACTAACAGTATAATTAGATGCTGTAGTAGTCTACAGTTGGCTCTGTGGCTAAGTCGATGCGAACGCTTCGTAATGCTGGGATGCCAGGTTCGATCCCGGCTGCGGGCCATGTGCCTTGCATTGGTTTCGACAGTGGTATTAAGAAAGCTGACCGTCCAGAAAGCAATAGCAAACTACTGGACGTAAATTTGCCTAGAAAAAACACAACAGCCAGGGGCTTTTGGGGTTGGTTCTGCAACGTCCTGTAAAGGATACACAATTAACCTAGTAGTCTACTAAAAGTTATATTATTCCTCAATCATTTGTATTCATTTTATTATGTGTATGTTGCACAACAGTTACAGTTGAATGGTCTATTTGGTTCTCTTTGCAATAACGGTCACACTTCTTCTTCTTCTTCCCCCCCCCCCCCCCTAACCAGTCCTCTGATGCAATAACCCCTCAGAATCAAAGAGTTGACACTAATTTTTATTATTATATCCGCGCCACTGTCTTTTTAGCGGACATCACAAACGCCATATTGTATCAAAGGAAGCCAACTATTAGCACGGCAGGAATTCTTTTAATTCAAATAGCTATTTCTACGTTACCTAAAACATTGAAATGTTTTGGGCTGCAGCGAGATGATAGTTTAGTGAATGCGAATAAGCGATCCTTTGACAGCTTTCAAATGAGATTATTAATTATCTCGGCCCGGGAAATAAAAGCTCGCCTTACTATTCAGCTGAGGTCGGGACTCAGGTCCCACTTTATCCATAAGCACCGTCCCATAAATGACATGATACATGAAGTAACTCGACTGTGCAGCATCTGGGCGACCTAGGACTTGGCAGCAATGACTTGGGACTCGACTTAGACGTGAAAGGTGACGACTTAGTCCAACCCCTGCTATTCAGACTACAAGGACACGATTGCATGTAAAGCGCAATATGAAATCTCTTGTGTGTGTATGTGTGTGTGTGTGTATATATATATATATATATATATATATATATATATATATATAAAGTGATGAGCACTGCAGCTTTCGACTGGCTAGATGACACGACGCGCGCACACACACTCACACAATTATTGTGATTGTAGCTGACTCAGAAAGCATGCCGAGGAAGGTGAGGACATTACTGCTTCGTGCAAAGTGACATGCTTCGCTTCGGAAGTCACGGATGAAGAGAATTTTCTGGATCATCTCTCCGGGCCATGCCAGTGTGTTTGGAAATGAATAGGTAGGCAGACTAGCTTGCTCTGCACAACTTATTGGAATAATGATGAATGATAAGGCAGGCGTGGTTAATACCTTATGGCAGCACGTGTATAATTCGGAATAGCAAATTGATTATCACGATCGAGAGTGATGCAGCGAGGAGTGACGAGAGGTTCTAGCCGATATTTGACGCTCAGAGAAAAGGCAAGACGGACATATAATCAGACTGCTACTGGCACCATTGGTAATGGAGTAATGGAGATGTGCTAGCTGCTAAAGATTGAGACGGAGCACTTATTGGAAGCCACACGTGATTTGATGTCGGCAATATGTTTCAAGATGTTTACTGCATCTCCTTCTGGTAATTATAAACATAATAGTGTTATGCCTACCTCCGGTTATTTCTTTACGAAGCAGACACAAATTGTGAAGAAGAAGCAGAAGAGGAAGAGAAGAAAGAAAACACACAGAGTGATGTGTGTGGTTGTTTATGTTAATTTTTTTTTTTTTTGTCTTCAAATATTTACCCAATGTTCTTAATAAAGCTTACTTTTTGAATGCATTTTCATTTTAAAATAACAATAGCGTTGAAAAATATTCACACATTCATCAATCTTGTTCAGTGTAAAGTTTTATGCACCTTCTTCTTCTCTTCTATATTAATAAAAATCTTGATTTTCCGGTGTCGTTAGCTCTAAACTCGGAAACTACTGAACCGATTGCTTTCATATTTGCACACAACGTTGCCTCTGACTCAAAGCGTTATTTTTTGTCATAAACTCGCACAAACCACGAGCGACGTAGCTTCAGCAACGGTCAAATCATTATTTGTTTCGTTGCCCGCCCGGATTTATTTTCATTGAATTGGCCAACTTTGACTGTGCAACACCAACCTTCATATTATCATTATATACTTTTATTTCTACAAAATGTTCGAGTATTTAGAAGCGTAGTTAGTTGTAAGTATTTTGCTTTTTTACTCGGGTGATAGGGGTTTGATTCCCCGCTGGGTCATATAATTTTTTTTGTGGGGGGGGGGGGGGGGGGGGGATCTAACTGGGTGGCTGCCACGGTTTGTTGTGGTTTATAGCTAGGCTGCAGTATCTACGCTTTTTTTCCGTTCGATTTTGGGGTTTACATCTAGCCTGCGATAGCGGCGACGTGATGCTGAATGTTCATGTCACGGGTAATATTCGTTCGCTCTTGAGAGGGCGGTTGGCACGTTGTGTTGTGGTTTACAACTACGTTGCGACATCTGCGCCTTAAGCCCAAAGACATCCGATTTAAGTACAGTCCACATTAGCCTCCCACCTCCCCCCGACGCTTCACTCGATCAAAAACTTTTCTTTAATGACAGAAAGTGTTAACTAAGAAGGCTTACGGTCGTCACTTCAGACAGGGAGAGATGACGAGTGCAGGTTTTTATTTTCGCTATTTGTGAGTATAGTGTACATTTTTTTTTATATCACGGAATATTACTGTGGGTTCCATCACCAGTCCGTGGCAACAGCATGCGGCGCCAATTCCTCTGGCTACAACGACCTGTACAGACAGTAGTTGCCGTTTTGTGTTGTTGATGTGACGGTGGTGATGGTAGTGGTAGCAGTAGTACTGGTACTCGATGGGTTATGTGGTAGCTGTTACACTGGCCACATTTACTTCTCAGTTACAGATAAAATGCTACCCATTTTTGTCCTGGGTGGAACAGGATCCAAGCTCAATTTAAAACAACATATTTCGTCGGCGA